CCCAGCCGCCGCGCGGGGCGCATGCGCCCCAGCCGCCGCGCGGGGCAATGAGGTTATTCAGCCACCTACATCCCCTGCCCCGTACCTTGTGGGGAGCGTCCACCTTGAGGGTGGATCCGTTGRCTCCGCACAYGCTGCTCAACGACCGGAACGCCGASAATCCGGAAGCCAAGTGGCCATCAGGAGGGGCGTCAGGGCAGTGCCCATCAGCTCCCTGGACTTGGTTCCAGTCCTGGAAGGCAGAGAGGCTTCAAGAGCAGGAACACACTGCCACCAACAKCACCCAGACCTTCAAGGATGGTGTTAGCACCAGGAGAAAGCAGACCTCCCCTCAAGACACAGACACCCCCTTACAACGTCCCCTCCAGCCCAGAACAGGTATTTACTCTAATGTCTTCCCTTTTTCTTGATTAAGAAGAAAAAAAAAAAGAGAGAAAAAACACTAGAAGTTGTTTCTTTTGTCTTGTTGTGGTAGTAACTTCACAAAAAGAGCTTTAAAAACATCCTATAGATAAGCTCCTACCTCATAATAATTCTGTAGAAGACCTATAGAACTTACAGTAGCTCTTCCCATACAAATAACAAATCACCCCCAAGACAGTAGGGCAAAAACAAATCTAAATAAAAATAAGAACAGGAAAAGATGTAATATACAATATGAAACCATACAGGAACATCATCATCTTTATGCAAGAGCCTGGCCCTAGAGCAGCAAGCTCAGCAATCAGTTCACATGCAAGGACATTGACCAACTAAACCAGACACACAACCATCAAGAACCACAAGGACTCTCCAAGGATCYTCTCAAGACCCACCAGCTCCACCTGTGACTTGGGCCCAGCTTAAATACAGCCCAATGGCCAATGGGCAGCGTGGAGGCCCCGAGGGGTTCGTGGTGGGCCCAGCTGAGCCTGGTCAGGGCAATCAGGGCCATCAGGGCCCAGCTCCTCTATACAAAACCCAGGCTGTTCTGCACAACCTGCAGCTGTGGATATGGGTGCAGCACCAGCACCTAGTGCTCTGGCTTAATGCCAGCTGCTTTTGGCATCGCCTCCAACGCAAAAACTTCCAAATGCAGAAAAAGGAAGGGAGCACACAAATTGCACTGGTAGGAAACTGCTCAGCGCAAACCACCCCATTTAGGCCAGGGAATAACGCGGAGTGGRAGCACACAGCTCCTGGGAATGGGAAACGTCAGACAGACAAATGCAAGGGGACACTAGAGGTCCTTCCAGCCCAAGGCATGAACGGGAACATCCTCCTGCAGCCCCGGCAGAGGAAAGCGGAGCCTCCTCCCAGTTTACACAGGAATGAATAGCGGGGGAGGAATCAGATTGACACCCTTCTCCCTCCCTTTCCAAGCTATTTTTTTTTTCCTGCTGAATGGACTAGAAGCAGTGCGTTCCTGCTGGAAACGTTCACGTTGACAGGGCAAGGTGGCTTCCTTCAGCGCCTTGGTGTCCCAGGGATGTCAGTGCTGGGCACATCCTGCCCCAAGGAAACTCGGGGGGCAATGCAAAAAAAATTCAACGCAATGTGTGTGAAAGCCACCAAACACCAGCTGTTCCTTGTCCTCGGAGCTGCTCCGGCTCCCGGGCCAGTCCGTGTGGAGAATCCTGCCGGTGCCTCTCTCCTGCACAGACCCTTCTCTCATCTGCTTTTCCTACCAGCACCTCGTGCCCTCCTTATTTCACAGCCCTGCCCCTGCTCTCGAAGGCATCTGGCCCTAGGAGAGCCCCCCTGGTCACCTCCCAAGGCTTCTCCCACAAGATGCCGCTCGGAAATAGCCCCTGCTCCGGGTGCTGCCCGGGGTGGAGGCCTGAGGAGCCCTGGATGGGCAGCACTGGTGGGAATCCCTTCGAAGCAGCTGRCAGGATGGAGGCCATCCCGTCCCGCCGGAGCGGAGTGTTGAGTGTGGGAAAGTTTCTACGCCCTGTGGGCCTCTCTTGCCCATGGGTCTGGGTCACAGCTCGGAGGGCGTGGGCTGCTCCGTGTGGGATGTGCCAGCCAGGAGCACTGGGATGGGGCCAGGTCATGCAATGCCACTGCTGCACAGCACGCAGCTCCGTGGCCCCATGGACACCGGGAAGGGACACGGAGACTTGTGCTACAACAGAGCCCACGGTGTGGACCCGGGCACTCGGGGGGCTGCAGGTGCTCGCCCTGGAGCACGGGGAGAAGAAACAGCGTGAGGAGAAGCCTCCYGGGATGGCACCTCCCGGGACGGCATCGGGACGGCGTGCCGGCAGTTAACAGCACGGCGGGATCGACCCCTCTGTTCCGAGTCCAGATCCCTGCGGGAAGTTGGGTGCCGGCGCGAGGGCCACCCGACCTGGCACCGGGGACAGGGTCCGATGGCTGCGGCAGCTCCCGGGACGGCGCCGGGAGGAGGGACCGGGGGCGGGAGCCAGGACTGGGGCCGGGCCGGGGGCGGGAGCCGGGGCTGGACCGGGGCCGGGAGGAGGGAGCCAGGACCGGGCCGGGCCGGGGGCGGGAGGAGGGAGGAGGGATCCCGGCCGAGCCACGGGAGGGCTCTCGGGCGCCGCCGTTCAGTGTCGCGGCGCGGGCGGCGCCGGTCTCCGCGATGCCGCCGCCGCTGTCGCCGCCGCTGCTGCTGGCGCTGCTGGCGCTGCCGGCACTGGGCGCACT